CTCACACACACACACACACACACACACACACACACACACACACACACACACACGGAATCCTCTGGGGGACTGAAAAGCTTAAGAGACTTTGTAAACATACTCTCCAATCCCTCAGGATATAGATGAGGAAACTGAGGCCCGGAAGGATGAGAGTCCATAGCCAGAGAGAGGCATGCTGGGAAGAATGAGGGTTGATGTGTTCATGCCTGCACAGTCCCGTAAGGGTGGCTTTGCTGTTGTGAGCTGACCTGGGACTAGAGCATTGATTACAGGGAAGCCCAACTCTTGCTGTTGCTGGGGGACTACTGTTCTCACAGGCAGGGAGAGAAGTTGTTGGGAGACAGATACAGGTGAGAGACCTGAAAACAGCATGGCCTGGAAGACCTAGATAAAACAAACCTCAGGGGAAGGAAGCGGTCTTGAGTTTAAATCAAAGGATTAGCGTCTCCTTGTGTTGGGTGTTGGACAGGGCTGTGCACAGGAGCTGGTCTTTCCCATCATCACCGCCTCCCCACTCTGTCCTTTCTTCTATCTAGCAATCAGGTATGTGGCCACAAAAAGGAAGATGCTTCTGATCCTCTCTGCAAGGGCTCCCTCTGGGCTGTGTGCAGTCACCCAGCTGTCCCCTACATGGCTACCACGCCCACAGCAACTGTAGAAAAGCAGCTGATAAGAACAATGTAGCCACAAGAGGCAGAGGTCAGCTTGTGATTTCCGATTCAGTTAGGACGAAGCTGATAAGCAGAGGGGCTGCCTGTGGTGGCTACACTGTCCACTTAGCTGCTGCTGAGTCTTCAGCCTGCAGAGCTGTGTTCTGTGTCCTTTAGCAGATCCTGGGCTTATTCCTTCCATTCATTCATTCCCTCATTTGCTTTATTTAATGAGCCAAGCATTCTCCTTGCATGAATGGATGACTAAAAACTAACTGCTACTACCCCAGAACTTATGGGGGTGGGGGGGTGGAGCAAAGGATCTCAGAACACCAATGAAGATATGCAAGACAGAATTATTGATTCCAGGTACATGGAAGAAACAGGAAAGGAAGCTATGGAGGGGAGGCAAAGCCACAGAATAAACGATACATATATTTCTGGAATGTGCTTTTCCTAATGACTTTCTTTGCAAAATGAGGGCCAGAACTGAACCTAGACAAGGCCCTGCAGGAAAACATCAGTGACTTCACAGCCCCCAAACACCTTTGGCTGCAAACAACAGAAACTCAGCTCAAATAGCCTTACTTTAAAAGGGGGGGGGGATTAATTGGATCACATAGTTGAGCAGATTGGGAATAGATAAAGCAACAGGTTTTCAGGCATAGCTGAATTCCGGCACTTAAATCATGGCACTGGCAATCTGTTTCTCTCTAGAGCCATTTACCAAATAGGTCCGATAGAATGAGATCATAGAGTCCGTGACTTTCTTTTTAAAGATCTAGAAATGTGTTGGAGATTTCTTTATATAATGTTTGGTTTCCAGAGAGAGAGAGAGAGAGAGAGAGAGAGAGAGAGAGAGAGAGAGCAGGGGAGGCATGGTGGCTGGAGCAGGAAGGGAAGAGCACATGAGAATATGGAATTGACCTGCTTTTCCCCCATCTCTACTATCCATCCCCAGCACTGACATTTGACAGCACTGACCGCTGGCTGCTCTTGACACACCTCCCCCAGCTTTTCCTCCTGCCTCTTTGACTGGGCTTTCTGTTCTTTCTTGACCCAGGAAAAGGATAAGGAAGAGAATCCCATGGCCTAGCTGGTTAAGAAGCTTGGATACTTCATGGAGGGGCTGCAGTGAGGAGTGAAACACAAGAGTGGAGATTAAAGAGAACGGATCAAAAGGACAAAGACCCCATTGTGGCCTGATGGGGCAGTGATGGCTGTTGGGGTGGAAAAACTAAGATGTTGAATTTAGTTGATATAGATAGATGCAATATGTCAGAGGGCAGGCAGTGGGATTGCTTTCTGTTCTGAGGTAAAAGACAGAGATGCAGGAAAGTTTGGCTTGTACATGTTGGGTGGGAGGGGCTTAAAGGACATCTGACTCAGGATGCCCAGTGGGGGGTGGGACATGGTTGGAGGGGTAGCTAGAGCTCTGGAGAGAGTGCTGGCTCCTGCATCACAGCCTCATAGGGTCCCTGTGGAAATGCCCATCCCTCCAGACAGGGTTAGTTGTACCAGGTCAGAATGAAGAACCAGCAGGGACTTTGGGTGACCACAGCCACTTCTTCAAAAAAAGCCTCAGCAGGATGTGTCTGGGAGGGGCTTTGAGGGCCATGAGGAAGGGGAAGGGGAAGGAAGGGGCGGGACAGAGCTAGCCTGTAAGACGCAGGGCTTTTCTCTGAAGATCTAGAGACTGCAGTCAGGGTTGAAGGCTCTCCTTGGGGACGGACATCTCTTTCCCTGGGGCTGTTGGCATTCTGGGCTGGACCTCAGGAAGCTCATTGGCTGGAGGATCTGGGGAGGTGGACTGCGGTCCCTCTGAGGTAAGTGCTGGCTGGGGTGGAATCTCTGGGGAGGGAGGTAGGAGAGACAGAGCTGGACCCAGATGGGGTACCAG